GCGTGGTCGGGCCGGTTGGCGATGCGTCGGACGAAGCAGAGGGTGACGAGGAGAGGAGCGGCGACCAGCGCGAGGGCGAACCACTCCTGGGGCACGTCGAGGAGCATTACGGCCTTGGTGTGTTCGGTGCGAGCTCTCCCCGGCTGCGCGACAGAGCAGCGTGGATGAGCGAGTCGGTGGATGCGCGCACAGCTGAGCGTTTTCACCTGGTTGGTTGTCTCCAGGGGCAGCTGAGCGCCAGGGCAGCCTGAGGGGAAGAATTCGGTACCACCTGGTTGGTTGTTGGCCACAGAAAGCTGGGTCTTTCGCCAGACGACGCGAACCACGAGGACGAGACGGCGCCAAGCGAGTACGCGGGCGCGGCGCCCGCGCACAGGCTGGGCGCTGGGGCGACCCCGGCCGGGCCGTCGACGCTCTCGGAGGCTGTGGTACCAGCCAAAGGCGAAGCGGGGGCGAGGCCACAGCCGAGGAAGAGGCATCAGAAACGACTGCGGAGGCAGTCTGGTAACGCCCGGAAGGCGAGCAAGCGACCGGGACGAGCCGAGGGCTCGCCCCGACAGGCGAAGGAGGGGACTCTGGGACCGGAGTCGGGCGGGCGCACATGAGGCATGTCCGTGTACGTACGTGGAGCACGGTGTAGTGTGTTCGCTAGCTCCGAGTAGAGGGGGCGTTCTGCAGTTAAGGGGAAACCCGGTACACGGAACTAACCCTCGGAGACCCGTGTTTACTTTACGGCCCTTGCCCTGCGAACGCGCACCCCCGGGGCTAGGGCTCTCTAGCCCGTAACCCGATACCGATCATCCGGCTCGCTGGGTGCGCTTCTTAGCTCCCCGGCCCTGGGTGTGAGGTTGATAACTGCACTCCAAGTGCTCCAAGTGCCTGGTCACAACTTCCCGTGTAATCCCTGTGTGGTGGCGGCGTGCCGTCCTCCCATCCCTCCTTTGGGTTCGTTATGCGGTTAGTTATGTTTGGTTTCTTTCTTTCTTTCTGACGACTGGGCGTTGTCGACGCACTCACACACGACAAGAAGGGGAGGATGAGAGTACATGCATGCAGTCAAGCGCGCGTGGCGTTCGGGGTTCGCGATTTCCAACAAATCTCAACGGCGGCTTGCGCGACGGCCTCCGCGGCGCCACCTCCACCCGCTAGCAGCACCCATTTCGCGAGAATGTCCCAGGGTAAGCCCATGTGCGCGCTGCCGCCTCGCAGCGCTGCCGCCACTGCAGCCGCTCCGGCTCGGACGCATTCAGGGCGCGCAGCAGCGAGCGCGAGGGGCCGCGGAGGTCATGGCTCATCCACTCGTTCCAGCGCGAGTTGCAGTTGACGCCGCCGTGGCTCTCGTTCCCGCGTGCGATCGAGTAGCCCCACTTGATCTCCTTGATGAGACCGCACGAGGCTGCGCCGTCACGGACGACGGGCGGCGCGTCCGCGTAGAATAGGTAGAAGTGCGTCGCGTGCAGCCGCGCCCGCCCCGACCTCATGCCCGGGGGCAGCGTGAACGGGCGGTCCGGCGGCCCGTCGCGCACCAGCGAGCCCAGCGTGAGCTCCGCGCCGTCCCTGTGGGCGTACAGCATGCACCGATCGTGCGGCGTGTTGGACTTGCAG